GATATCATTGCGCCTTAGTAATTCAGCATACTCGGCACTTCGAAACTGTGGACAAATCAGTGATATTGCTTCTGGCAAACCGTACCTTGCAAACAAACAACGGAGCCACTTTATGATGACGGCTGTGGTTACGTCCCCGCATGGAATAGCCTCTGTCCATTTACTATAAAAGCATGTAGCCACCAGGACGTTTCGCTTCTGCAGGAGTGCATTGGCAAACGGGCCAAAATTATCGATTGCAATTTTCGCACATGACTTCATTGGGTACACGATAGGTTGGACTGGAGCACTCAGGGGCCTCGCACTCTTCTCGGATTGTTGACAGACATAAGGTACACGAGTAACCACCTCGACGCTTAACTTCAAATTGGTTACCAATAGTATTTCCGGAACCGAGCTTTTGTTGGCACAATCCCTGGATGACCTTCATGCGCACATACAACCACCAGAGGAATAATGGTTGGTAGGACTGCTGTCATGGTGGTAGGACTGCTGTCATTAACACCGGCTTATCTGTTTCACTACAACAAACGTATTATTCCTCCAGTCTAGTCAACGTGCTTTGTTATGTCGGTCCCTTGACCCTGCGCGTGCAGAACAATCTTCCTACGTAGTAGTTGTATTCTGAGCCACTCCAGATACGTGGTGTAAAGAACGCGCTTGCAAGTTATGTATACTAAGCAAAATTACTTACGTTATAGTGTATCATAGGTGCCATTAGGCGCCACCACTCTTTCGATAGTGTTGCTTGATTCATTGCCGTCTGTCTGTTTGACTGCCTCTTGTCCGTTTGCGTCACTTCCCAATATTTTCAGCTACGTCAGTCAAACGAAAAAGGTTTATCCACTTGGAATGGCCGACCCGTTCTCAATAGCCAGCTGGCTTTACACGATCCATTCTCCGGGAGATGATAAACTTACTCTTCGTTCCAAATGAAGCTCTTTCCGCCATTCTGGAGACGCCAATTTCACGGAGTCTAAACAAATGGGTTTAGCTCGCCAAGTACTCACAGTATCACAATTTACTCACCTGGAACAGTATATTTACTTGGATCCCTTGTTCCACAACGGAAGACTAATGGTTCTGGCGTGCTTACCATCACTGCCTCGGTTAGCTTTGCTTATTCTCGCCGGCGTTCAAAATATTGCTTTCGATGCCTTACGTTTAGGCAAGAACTTTCCGATTTTGCATTCACCTGGAGCTATTCTGATGTCATTTCACGGACAGCTTTGCGCTCGTATAAATGGCTCCTCTATTGGTCTTTCATAGAGTTTTCACTTGACCATGGAGACAGTTACATTTATTTACCTTTGAAGGAATTCCGACTCTATTATGCTGGGTAAGAAACTCGTAATGATCCCGCGTTGAACCAAGGAATGGCTTTTTCGCCTGTTATGGACGGATTTAGCAACAAATAACAACTGCACCCACAATCCCCATGACAAGTCCAAAGTGGATAGCTGAATACGGCTTGCGAACCGGACAAGTATATAACAGAAAGAGCCAGCCTCTATTAACAATGATTTTACTCACCTGCACCATTTCTCGTTCGACTCTTCGACTCATTTGCAACCTTGTCCGGTTTCAACGATTACTGCCAAGATAATCGGTCAACCAACGGAGAAAGTTGTCCGTCAACCGATTATGAATAATAGAGTGCAAAATCGATCTGCACGATGCATCGCCAACTAGAACTACTGTTCAACAGAAGCTACTGCGGTCTTCCAGGACGTGATGGGCATTTGCTTGGCAAAAGTTCTCCCAATAAAAAGCCACTAATGTCCGCTTAACAACATTGCGACGTCGCGGATGTGGCTTGCCACTGAATATAGGTATAGCTAAACATTGCACACTTACGCGGTCCTTAGCGTGCTACATACAAACTTTGCAATTGATTTTACTATGAAGAAAGCTTTGCTGGAACACGGAAGTTTCCTATATCTTAATGGTCATTGATTGCTCCAAAACCTTGTTTGGGTTAATGTGCTCATGCAGTGCTACATGGCGAAATCACCCCCAACTAGTATATTCATAAAACAGACTTGACTTATTTCTACGCGCCCCAGCGCCATCATGTTTTTTGGTCTGACATTTACCCGACAAATTGCTCACTCGTTTGAACCACAGCATATCGCTTATAACTTTCATTACAACGAAATGTTTTACTATTCCTACGAAGCTATGTTTTTATGTATATTTGATCATGCCTTCACAGTTGTGTCCTGTTTACGGAGAATATACCAGTTATTTATTTATTCATTTGCTGGTGTTCGCGACCACATATTCCATAAGACTTCAACTTCGTGAGAGTCGCGAATTGGGGAGAGCGCCAGAGGCGTTGGTGAAGTCGATGAACACCAGGTCCACCGCGTATACACTATCTACTGCATCAGCCTATTTCGCATGTGCTACCATCAAGTTCGCTTGAAACAAAAAACCTTTGCGGAAACCAAGATGCTCCACGCTAAGCAAGTTAAATCTATTCAAATAGTTCTGCACCGTATATCTTATGACATAACATAAACACCATGCTATTCAACAAAACCGGAGTGTAATTAGCCGGTAGATCGTTGTCAAGACTTTTGAGATTCAGACAGACATGTGCCTACTTCCATTTCATAGGTAAAACACAGCTGCTGTGTTATTTCTGAAAGAAGTTAGTCAGAGATCCACAGAGTTCAAATGACAATTCGTGCAGCAATTTTGCATGACGGAATCTGGACCACAAGCCTTAGTTGTGTGAACCTCTCTCAGTAACGGATCGATTATTGTAAGTTTTGCTTCCGCTGCTATCACAAAAGATGTACCGTCCTCCTAGTGAACCAGTACAAAATGCTATAAGTCCAAGATATCTTGGATCAGGGGAAATTTGACCATGGTCATATTACGTATTAAGCGTTTATTTGCGCACTGCTTTTCACGGTTTCAGCTAAAATGCTTGGACAGTATGGCTGCAGCCGTGGTTTGGAAACCTGGTTCCAGTAATAGTAACGTAAATAATGTTTGCCTTTTCTAAAACAGCGTTTCTATTTAACGTACTATCATTAACGTTTTATTTCCGAAGACTAAGCCTTTACCCGTAACCGACACACTGAGCTGTTTTGACTCCCTTTAGGAAGAAACTTCGTCTACGTGTGCTAGTGGGGAGAGTGCCGATGCACGTAATATGAGTCCGGTCGTGGGTTTCGTAAGCTTCTGTGTCCGGGGCTTACGAGGGTCGTAGTAGACTGAGGATGCTGAAAGGTAAATACGACGCTTCCTTGACAGCTGGAAAACTACCTAGTAAGTGCCGAAGCTGGATGGTTGCTGTGCTTGTGGTATACCTCGTGACTAGCTGGGCGGTACTGCCGCAGCTACCGAAAAAGGACCGAGCACGTAGCAGCTAGCTGGAGGGCGTGAAAGTGTACTGCGGTTAACTAATTCAACAACACAGAAGACGAAATGGGAAAGCAAAGGAAAGAGGAAACGACGTGCACAGTAAAGGGTACGCACGACACCGACTTACTTCCTGACTTGCTGCTAAAACACTGACGCGTTATATTATCCCCTCTATTTAAGCGCTGTCCTTAGCGTCTACAAAATCCCTACCAAAATTTAGTTACCTCCGCGTAGACTGAGTTAACTTTGTGATACGTTCTGTTGATTCCGTCTTAGGAAATGATATTGCATCGTCTGCAGTCCTGCTTCAGTGGCTTGGGTTATGAGCTGGCTGGGTCGCCATATTTGCAAAATGAATCCGGTCCAGTGTTCTGAGGGCTTCCGCTTCTGCGAGCGTACACAGGACTTAGTAGACTAATAAGGGTTGAAAGCCAAAAGAGTTGCCTCGTGAGCAGCTGAAGAACCACCTAGTAATCGTCAGGGCTGCATGAACGGTGTGCTGGTATCACATCTGGTGGCTAGCTGGGCGGCGCTGTCACAGCTGTCGATAGTGGACGGAGCGCGAGGCGTAAAATGGCACGATACTGGCGACTCCAAAGAAATGATGGAAGGGAGTGGTAATAAAAGATAAAACTGCGCAAACAAAATGGCTACGCTTGACGAGAGCTTAATTCTTAAATTACTACAGCGACGTTGAAGGGCTACCGTGCGGACCGGAACAGAAATTGCTGATGTGAGGGTAGATGTGACTGAGCATAAGGTAGCTTATGGCACGAATTCTTAAGGAAATTGTGGTGTTGTGGCAAAGCATTAAAGGAGGCAAATGCAGAGCAAACCATTTTATGTAAGTAAGTAGTTTCTGTACAATGTGTTTCGTATGCACGTTTGATGTCAGGTGATAAAAATAATAATTTTAATTAATGCATTTTGGTGTTGGGAATAAAATGACTAAGGTGGTTCCTTGCTAATTGGTTTGTAAAATGCAGGTGAGCACAGCATTCTCAGCTCCGTCGATTCGGATACGGTGTAGTTTTGACGCAATTGTCTGCGAGGCTGCATACGCTGGGGATCTTGCCGTTGCAGTAGGAGCAGCAGTGCCCTGCCGAGACGGTGCACGAAAGTAAGCGCATGGGATTACACAGCAAAACTGGATCGGTCCAGTGCGATATCTCAAAAATATCGCCTACAATCAGCAGACGATAATTGTTCAAGTTGCTGGAATGTAATGGCCGAAGAATCAGTGTTAGTGATCCTTTTTGTGAAACAAGTAACGTTATCGAATCGAAGAATAGGTATATGTTATTAGTTGAATCCACATATCCACAACTACATGACAAACAGAAATGAAGCAACCGTGAGAATTTACTCAAGTCTTCGTAGATGTCTTTAGCTAATCAAATTTTGGAATAAGTGAATAAAATATTGTGAATTATCGCTTTGACTGTGTCCAGCAATACACCGTACAGAGCGCTACCCTCGCGTAATCCTATACATTTGTACTGACAATCTTTTTCATACTGCTCTCCTCATTTGACAGCCGGTGACAGCAGGCAGCTTCGTGAGTCTGCATTGTTTTGTTTGCTAAAGGCATTGGTTGTTTATTCGGTACTATCACATCAGAAATGCTGTGGCGCTTCCAACAAATAGCAGTCGCACCTGCAAACAGCCAAAATGTAAGTATTTAGGTTTACCGGTTAAAGTATGTTCACTTGATTTATGTTTTTTATATGAAATTTAGCTGCACCTTCGACGTGGTGGTGTGTTCACGTGTGTGTAATCATTTGTTTTCCTAAATCTATGTAGTGCACTCCCGCCGTGAATCGGCGTAAATTTAACATTCTTCCCCTCGGTACCGTGGCGAAACGTATTGAGCTGGAGACGTCGATGGCTGCACGCCTGTGTAATATGGACTGCATAGCCACAGTGGGCGACCTGTCGTATCACATTCGCGATCAGTTGACAGCTGCTGCCGAGGAGAACAGCGGGCGCGCAAACTGTAAGCGGCCTGATTGGTTTGATGAGAACAATGCGACGATTGACGCATTGGTGTCGGAGAAGAATGCAGCATTTTCTGCACATGGGGCAGACCTCATTGACTTGG